AAAATCACGCGTCTGCCTACCATCAGAGTGAGCCGAAAAAGACACAGACTGAATGGTACGCATACGAAGTGGAAGCACCTTTCCGTCGGGCTTTGTGACTCCTTTCGGTTTGTGAGAATATCTTTCGCGATGGTGCCGTCAACACAATACCCGGCAATAATAATGCCATTTCGCCGATCACCACACCATCGCTCAAACAGTTCCAAAGAAATCCCAGACTGTAGCATACCAGGTGAGGCCAACACGACACACGGCCCGGTGTCTTCAAAGGAACGTGTTTCCATGAGGGAGTGAATGTACTTGAAGACAAACGGATTACGATGGTTGGCATGCTGCTGTTTCACACGATCGTTCATAGCACTAACAAATGTCTGGTATAATTTCATGCATCGCTGGGCTAGTGAGGAGGCGTAATAAATAGGAATATGCTGCAACTCCTTATGTGCCTCCCAATATTCTTCGAGAATAAGAAGAAGCTCTTGAGCGCGACCTAATGCGAAAACCGGCACCAGGCAGCGTCCTCCACCCTTTACAACATCATGAACCCACGTAGTAAAGAGAGTTTCGCGTTCTTCACGTGACTCCAGCTCACGTATTCCATTTGTGCTTTCCGCAATCAGAATGTCTGGTGAGTAACTTGGCACTTCCGCACCCAACAGATGGCGATCCGGGACTCGGGAAAAATCACCCGTGTAAAGCGTCTTCATGCCTGCAATATCAACCATAAAGAGAGCTGCCCCAAGAACGTGGCCGGCATTAAATGGTTGAAAACGAATACCATTGACTGTTACCTCCTCGTGATACTCCACTGTCTCAATCTTTTCAATGGTGCTTTGCAGCCACTCGTTCGTCACAATATCGTTGGCACTTGCGCCGACACGCAGAAAATCATTCATCACCATCTTGTAGAAGGCTTTGGTTGCACTTGTCATAAAGACGCGTCCTTTAAACGCTGTTTGCTCGCAAAAGTAGGGAAGCGCTCCGCAGTGGTCAAGGTGGAAGTGAGTGATTAGCACAAGGTCAATCTCATCGCACCGAATGCTGTCAAAAAAAGGAAGGGAGTCCAGGCCGCTCTTTGCAGGATGATTCCCGCAGTCCAGCATCACGGAACGCCCCTTGTAACGAAGGATGACGCAAGAACGGCCCACTTCCCCCCCGCTGCCAATTGGCAGGATTTCAACCTCATCCGAAGAGGCGGCGGCAGGGACATCCGAATCCCTAAAGGCATCATCCAGCACTGAACCCGTCGATTTGTTGTAAACGGCAGTTACTGCTGCTGCCGCAGGGAGCATCGTTACGCTGACTTAGGCTGAAACCTTGAAGAAAGCAAACAGCCATTTAAAGTAAGAAAAATTAGTGAGGAAAAAAATAATAATAAGCAATCAAAAGAGGTCAATAGATCAGTTTTAAAAAAGAAAAAGAGGGTATGCAGGAGTCTCCACCTCCTTCGTTTCACTGCTCCCCTCCCTCAAAGAAGAAAAAAAATGTTTTCAAATTACATGTCTTACCGCTCTCATTCACCCAAATACTGGCGGAAGAGCCAACAACACTCAAAATAGCATGCCGATGTAGCGCCATATTTTTGTTCCTAATCCACAACATGACGCTCCAAAGAAGCATAAATAATTGTTTGTAGTTTGTTCGGCAAGAATTCGCCTTCTCGGAGGTCCTCCAAGACGGCCCGTTTAACTGTCAATAGAGGATTGGTCCTCTTTTCAATAGCCAAAGTTGACGGCACCGTGCAGGCTGGAAGGCTCCAGGGACTTTTGGTGTTATCCCCAAAAGGTACGGAGACGCTGATTTCGTCTAATTGACGTTTGGAGCGCAACATGCGTGCGCTTCGCATGGCCGCGCGCAATGCCTGGAGATAATTCCGCAGTTCCACATTGGTCTCTTCCTTGCCTGAATCCCTCTCATGCAGTCTCAAAATTTCTGACACCAGACGCTCCGTGTACTCATGCCCCACGTACACCAAAACATCGTCCGCTGAGAACATTTTATTATTTGTCGGATGCGTTCGCATCCGATGACTAAAAAACAAATCCCGTGTCTGTATAACTTCATCAACGGTCGTCACCTCAAACATGGCACCGCAACCTCCACAGAAGATGCAATCTCCAGTGAAAAGTGCCAAGCGCTGTGGAACATCAGAATCCATGAGAGCATCTCCTAAAAGGAACATAACGGAGCCAACGGTGTGTCCAGGGGAAGAAAACACAGCAACCGTCACGCCCCCACCAGCAACCGTCAGCACATTGCCGTCCTCTACAAAGTTGGTACACGCATGAGGATTGTCAATTGCGGAACCATAAATCTTCAACTGAGCATCCAAGAGTTCTGTGATCTCTGCATCACTCTTGTTCTGTAAATGCTGCATGAACTCCAGATTCCCCCCAGCATGATCCCAATGTTTGTGAGTGGTAAGAATGTCCGTCAGTACGAATTCTACCCCGGTTAAGTATCGGACAACGGTCAGCATGTACATTACGAGTTTGGGGTCAGCTGGATCGACCACAGCACACTTTTTCGTCGCAAAACTCAAAATCAAGTATGCGTAATTGTCCGCCAGAAGAGGGACCGGAACTACTGCGACTCCTCTGTAGCCTTTCTTGTACTCTTCACCGAGACCCTTCAGATCAACCAATCCACCGCCGCGTTCGTAAAACTCCGGGTTTTTCTTCAATTCTACAGGAAATAACGATGATGCCTTGTGACCACCACTCAGAGATCGCACGCCATGACGATAGTCGGAGTGGGGAAGACCATGACGCACGTGCAGCATCGGTCGCAAATACTTGTACCCAATGGAATCGGAGCAATAAATACGATACATCCAAGTGAAAATATTGTTTTTAAACCATGCCCGCGGAAAGTACTCATTTTCTGGCACAATGCCGGAGAGATAACAAAGGAAGGTCATGGCCAGGGTGGTTGGTAGACTTGTCACCCCTGAAATACAGAGCGAGCCAAAAAAAACCAGGAGGAGGGAAACTCCCATGAGTTGCTTTATTTCTATTCCACTCCTTCGCACAAGAGTCGTCATGAATTCCTGCATTTGACGCTGCTGCCACACACACAGAAAAAAAAAAAAAAGAAGTGGACGCAATTGTGTCCGGTGCCAAATAAAAAACAACCAACAAAAAAAAAAAAAAGGACATTGTGACGGTTCTATCCCCTTCATCTTTGCGGCATCGCACATTTTTCTTTTCCCTCCCCACCGCCCTCCCGCGATGCTCGATCGTACTCCATGGCTTAACTGTACATTTGCTCGCTCTTTTACTCGGCTCCACTTGAAACACCTTTGAGAGGGTGGAATAGAGCTTCACAAAAAAAAAAAAAAAAAAAAAAAAAAAGAGAACGGCGCCGACATGTTAACATGCCCTCACTCGTCTTGCCACAACTGAGCACGCCCGTCGCCGTCTTCTCTTTAGAGAAACACCGAAAAAGTAAAAACAAACAAACAATAATAATAATAATCATACGTAATATATATATATATATATATATATACAAAGGGGAGCCGTCTCGCTGGCAATCAAAAGGATTCCGCAATCCAACAACAACACTTTCGTTCTTACCGTCATTACCAGGCACCATTTTTTTCCCCCACAACCGCACCTTTCAGCGTGCAGTTGGTGGGTGTTGGTAACAGCCATACAGGGAGGGGAATAGAGCGGAAAACAAAAGCACACACGCACACGCACACAAAAAAAAAAAAAAAGAAAAAAAAAGCACAGGGATTGTAAAGATACCCACTTCTACAGAAAACAAAACAAAATCTCCTTTTTTCCCCCCTGACAGATCTAGTAGAAATCAAGTGTGCATACCAAACATCAAATCCCTCTTCCTCTCTCCAGAGATGCATATGTATCCATCCGCTGCCTGGCACGGGACAGATGGGGCACCCAAAAGAAAGAAACGGGCAATCAGTTGCTTTCGAAATGAGAAACAAATCATGCATGAAAAAAAAAAAAAAAACGCAATAAAACAAAAGAAAGACGAATACATATTTTTTGGTGTTTTCACAGAAAACGAAACAAATCTCAACAAAACGAAGGGGAGAAGAAAATAAGTTCATTGTGCCCACACATTTCCTTTTCCCCAACAAAAAGGAGAGAGAAAGAAAAAAAAAGGGAATGAAGAGGAAAAACTAAAATCAGACAAAAAAACACACAAACAAAATATAAAAATTACGGCAAAACGCTAACAAAGCAGAACGTTATGTTCTTTTCAATCATTATTACGCCATCATCCGTGGTGGCTTCCCCTTTGACAGACACGTACCTGTGACGAACCCCAAACGCAAATGCACGGGCACAGCGAAGCAAAAAAAAAAAAAAAAAAAAAGGAAAGAGAAAATAAGTGAGTTAAATTTGCTCCCTTCTCCCCCCTCGCAAAAAAAGAAAAAAAAAAAACAATAAAAATAAAAAAAAATGCGGGTGACAAAAGCCCTGCTCATTTATTTATTTATTTATTTTACATGAAATGTATGTATATACGTAAATATTCCGGGTGGCACCGTCCTGGTGTGTTTGTTATTCTTCAAGGGCAGGAAAGCCACTGATGGGGAAGCATAGGGTTGCTTGCAGCCCACACCAACTTCCACCCTTTCCAAATGCCAGAAAACAACATCCATATTTTTTTTTTTTTATTATTTCTTCGCCTCTCTTCATTGTTTGGTAAACGTGTATGCGTATGTGTATTTATGTGTGTGTAGGGGGTGGGCGTGGGTCATTGATGCAAGAGGCTCGTACTATTTGCATGGGAAAGAACATCCACCCAACAAGACTGTGGGGAAAACGTAGAGGTCACACCTTTCGTACGCTCCTGCCGAAAATTATTATTCCGTTTCTGGGATTGTTGTCCTGTCAGATCCGAGCCATGCGCATACACTTCATTCTGCTGAAGGATGTAAAGTCGCAATTCATCCAGCTTACAAATAGCCATTTCTATATAACTATCCAACTCATTTACCGCTACAAATTGTTGCCGGCCATCCTTCACTAATTCCACCTCTTCTCCTGCCACAGTTAACGTGTATCTGAGGCCCAAATCCTCAAAAGTTTGCGTAGACACTCGATTTTTATCCCGTTTTAGTAATAAAAGATTCCTTTTATACATGTCAATTTCATCAAGTGTGGCCCTCGTCGTAATTCTCATCGATCCTAGAGAAGGATCATGGTATGCTCCGCGCTGCTGGCATCGCATGTAACTAGGAATTCCCATTACGGGATTTTCTTGTTCAGCCGCAGATAGGGATTGCTTACATGCAGTAGACGTCCTGAGATCCAGGCGTTTCTTTTCATATTCAACTCGTTCCAAAAATTCCTCGTGATTTGACCACGTCACTGGAATCCCCTCTCCGTGGGGTAAGATCTTGTAAAGCCCTTTCCCAACAATAGGAATTGCAAAGAAAAATGGCCCTCCATATTCTTTTTGCGTCATGTTGTCCTTGCTAAATGGGATAGTATTCGCAATCTGGAAGATCTCATTGTTAGCATCCTCTGGGTCTAGCGTGAACGTGTTCCACAGAGGGGAATTCTGTGGTGGGTATCGTTTAAACGATTCCTTCACCTTTTCAGGGGAAGGTGATAAATTATTAAATGACATCGCCTGCGTCTCCATTTTTTGAATTTCGCTTTGAACAAATGCGGCGTGAATCATCTCCTTTTTTTGATAGAGAAGGTCAAGGTACTCCTCCACGTTTTCTTCAGTCACACCGATAGTGTCGCCCCTCTCTTTTAGAAAAACATCGTGACCAAGAACTCTAATTGCAAAACAAAAGCCCACAGCTTTGGCCGGATCTTTTTTGATGGTTTCAATGATGTCCCAAAACCTTTTCTCCAATGGCGTTGTGTTATCCATCAATGAATGCGGCGGAAGGGGAATATTTGGTGTGTGGCCTGACGGCATCATCGTTTCCATCAACTTCTCCGTTGCCAACATCACAAAAAGTTCCTTGTCTTCGAAAGCCACGCGTTCATTTTCCCTACCAGGAATGAGGGGGACAAAGGTGTTTCCTACCGGTACACTGTATGTGAGGCCAATGGCGTTAAATTCCTCCACACTCAGGGGAATCCCAAACGGTCTATTCGTCCTCCCCAAGGCCTGCAAAAAATCAAAGTATCCGCGTGAGATCATTGACAGCTGAGGATAAACTTCTCCCATAGAGGGAGAAAAGGATTGGATGGGAGGCTGAGAAACTTTCATTAGGTGCTGCAATGACTTCTTTGTCCCAATTCCAAAACGTTTGGCGTCGCAGTAGGGAACCGGCTCGTCACGCATGCCGGGGTAAACATCAAGGAGTTGGCCATTGAACGGCACGCAGTAAGTCACATTGAGGGCGTTCCAGTCTTCCTCATTGTCAATGTACCACTCCGAGTTGGAGTTCAGCAGGTGGTCCACAATAAAGCAGGCCACTGGGTAATAATCCCCACTGAGGTGCAGCGTGGGGTCAATCGGCAAGTCACGCAGCCGAGCTGGCACTTTCTGTCGCATACCCGAAACCAAATTTAAAAAGCACTTGTAATTTTCTGCGGTGACCCTGACAGATATGCCGTTGGGAAAAAGTTCCACCATCGAACCGTCTTTGTGTGGACAGGCAAAAAAAACCTTTTGCCCATCTAACACCGCAGCCCCATGATCTCGTAAAGACTGCAACAACTGATCAAATTGCTGTACAACGGCCTGGTAATACTCGTTCGCGTGTTTTTGCAGACTACTTCGAAGCGTCGCCACCATTTTACAGGGGGCACGGGGGTTTTCCCTCTGAACATCCCAAAGCGCAAGGTCCACGAGTTTTGAGAGAAGTGAGCTACGGAAACACGCGTCAGGCAAAAGTCCCATAAAACCCACTTCTCTTTCCATCATCCCTCGCACCCCCCACCTCTTCTTCACGTCGCCTCCTTTTTATTACTAATATATTTTCTTTTTTGCGTGTGTCTTTTCCAACCGCCCTTCGTGTCGCCCCACACAATTCGCCGCCTTCTTGCTTGCTTCTTCACGCTGCGTCGCTCTGCACACTGGAAGCAGCAGACGGCAATGCAAACACACATACTGCGCGTAGGAAAGGACACGGCAATAGAGCAAAGAAAAAGGAATATATATATATATATATATGCAGGCATCCCATTCTTAAATTCCATCAAAACAAATAGTCACCGGTAAAAAGAAACAACTCCTGCAACGAGATCCGCTTCAACGGTAACCCCAACAGAGAAACAGGAGCCAAAAAAAAAAAAAAAAAAAAAAAAACTCTTTATTGCGAGTTACCAATTTTACTTCTTTTGCTGTGGTTTCATCTCTCTCCCTCAGGAGCCTCATTCACCCACTCATCTGTCTATACACATTTTTGCTTTCTTTGTTTCCTTGCTTTTTTCTCCTCGCGGTTTCCTGCCATTTCCGTGTATGCGCATGACGGTCCAGGGGAAACAACAGACCGACGACAGGGCGCTACAGATTGGAGACGCCACGTGAAGAAATGCACTGTGAGGCCTTCCAGACGCCTTTGGGCGGTAGAATTACTTCTTTTGCGATGCTTCCGTGCTCCACGCAAACAAACTTATTGTAACCGTCCAAAGGAAGATCCTTCAATCGGGCGGTTTTCTCCACCCAGGGGTTCCAAAGCACAACATCTGGAAGGTTCTCGCCCGATACGTGCACCGTCCGATGCCTTGCCTGGTCCAGCAACGAGATCGCAGATTTCTGATCCACGTATATGCGATCCACTTCTTCTCTGATACACCACAACGGCTCTGGAGACTGCAGCGCTTGCTGTTCCTTCAAGTTGTTAATAAAAGAAGTCGTGTTTACTCCATCCACCCGAGTCTTTGTAATGTCCCCCACCGCAAAATATGTGTGAAACGCAAAAGTGAATCTGATATCCGCCTCCGTATCGTGACTCGTGACTTCCATCTGCAACTTAAGTTGCTCGTTACTGAAGGTGATGGTGTACAACAGTGAAACGGTGCCTGAGGCCGACGTATCGTTGTTGTGCCTCAATTCCGCGCCCTGCTTCCGCAGCTCACTCGATGGTAATTCCAACGTGAAGGACGCCATTCCGCTGCGCAATTCCTTCACATTCCACTCACGAATACGCGCAAAGCCGTGCGCGGGAAGTGGTCCACGATTTCCAAACTGCGGAAAGATGATGGGAACGCCTCCTCGAATGGGGACTCCTTGCTTGTAGACAGCATTGGGACTTGTGTACAAAATTTCCTCGCCCTCCCTCGTGCGCCAGCTGGTTAGGTGGGCGCCCTGCGTATGCACAGTGATGGAAGAGCCATCCTCGTTTTTTGCTTCAACGACCGATTTGCTCATTGGAGCCATAGAGACACAGGGGTTTGAGTCACACACACGCACACACACACACAATATATATATATATATATATACCGAGTTTCTTTTTGTTTTTTTTCAAAAATGTAGCCGCAGCAACAGAGAAACGTTGAGTAGAGAACTGAAGTACAAAAAGAAAAAATAATAATAAGGAAACTGAACTGTCCAAACAAACAGACAAAAAAAAAAAGAAACGAATGTAAAGAAAAAAAAAGACGGAGCAAAGCACACAAGCGCACACACAAGAAGAAAGAGCAGCAAATAAACCAAAATTATTCAATCATATGTGTGAAACCAAATGACGGATATTTTTTCCCTCATATTTTTCTTTTTTTTTTTTTTTTTTTCCTTTTCTCACCGACTAAAAAAAGGGGTACGGCGGCGGCGGTCTTCGCGTGAGAATGGCTTTGATCTTCTGCTTGCACCATGAGTCATGCTGCTTCTCGGCAAGGAGGTAGTCGGCGCGGAACTTCTTCGCCTTTCCTGGCGGAAGCATCAGTATTGTCTCATTGTGTTTGATGATGCGCTCCACATCCGTGCGCATGTGATGCTCAATAAACGCCGCGACCTCGAGCCCAACGCCCACAAGCTGCCGAATCGCCTCCTCATTTGTTTCGCCGGAGTACTTGTAGAACTCCACGAGCACTCGGTGGCGTGACCAAAAGAGTTTCGACCGGTCATGAAAGTACGCCGCGCGCAGGCTCTTCATAAGCTGCCGGTAGCACAGTTGCTGCGGTGTCCACTGCAGCTCCCTGCTGGCAGCCGCCTCGCCAGACAAAACAGGCGCCGCTGCTGCATGAGAAGACGTTAGGCGACTGCAACGCATGCACCGCTCCTACGTGAAAATCCCCGTCGTGTGTGTGTCGCGCAAAGAAAAAAAAAAAAGAAAAAAAAAAAGAAACCACTAAACATAAATAAACAACAACAAAATAATAAAAATAATATGCCACAACAACAACAAGAAACGTACACACAAGTGGAAAAAATAATATTAATAAAACACCGACAGAAAAAAGTCAAAAATCAAAAAAGTGTGTGAGTGGCCCCTCCGACTCCATTTTCAGTCCTTGGCGATTGCCGTACGTTCCGCTAATGACACGGCCCACATGTTCCGCTTCCTGAGTGCTCGCTGACGCATCTAACGGCACCCCATTCGCATCCACGGAGGACGTATCAATACTTCTTGCCGCTCGCAGCAGCTGACAGAAGCGGTCATACAGCAACGATCCCCGTGACTTATCCACCAACCCGTGAAACTGGACGCTTCGGCCCTTCAGCTTCCCGCCAAGTGAAGCCTGCGGGACGACAAGAATGTCAGCGTCGCAACAGTCCTTTAGAGATGCAACGGAAGTAACTGGACTGCTCTCTGGTAAAATGCGCTGAAAAATTCTTCCATTCATGATGGCTGTGACGGCCTGCTGAAGCGCGGCGTCGTCCGTGTCCTCCATAAATGCAACATAAATGACAACCCCACGACCAACCGAAACGTACCGTTTGGCGTTATCGACGAGGATTGCAGCCTTCTCAATGGACTGCAGCACCACGCGAATCGTCATTACCTGTACAAACCAAAAAAACAAAAAGAAGACACACGCATATAGACCACGCTTCCCCGCTGTGCTCAATATATTCTGAAAAATCCCCTATCCCGCACAAAATAAAAAAAAAATAAAAAAGGGAAGGAAGGAAGAAAGGAGATAAAAACCATACATGCAACCAACAGCGGGGGAAATCATGTGACGTCAGACAACCGCCGACGCCAAATTCCTCCCAGAGGTCAAAAAGTGGAAAGTCAAAAGGCCCACAGAACACTTTAGAAGACTAAAAAACAAAAATCCCAAAAATCCCAAAGAAAAAAAAGAAACAAAAAAAAAGTCGGTGTGAATTGCACAAAGTGAGTTCTCACCAGTCTGCCGTAAATAAAAAAGACGACACACCAAAAGTTAAAAATAAGAAAAGTGCGTGTCAGAGTGTGAAAATAATAAAATAAGAATTGAAGGCACGCAAAGGTTTAGCACGCGAGAAGCGTAAAACTCTGAGGTGCTCTGCATTGGTGTCCACCTAAACCAAAAAGAAAGAAGGGAAAACGTTTGGCTGGGAAGGACAAATCAACAAAATAAAAAAAAAAAAAATGAAAAATAAAAATAAAAATAAAAATCAAATGTCTGGGGAGATGGAAAAAAAAAAAATAATTCCCATTTAACAGAACGCCAAAAAGAGTATTGACGACAACAACTCCTTCTTATGAATCTCTTCTTGTCATACGCACTAAGGGCTCTGTTTGTTGGGGCTTACTCCTGGAAGCAATTTCATCTGTATCCAACTCATTGTATCATAATCCCTAACGGAAGCGACGTCTGTACCACAGGAATAACGCCGCTGTTGGTATCAACAGCACAACGACAACGGTACCCAACACAATGAGCGTCAGCCGCCACCAAGGGCCTGGAGACTTAGAGGGCTGTTGCTGCTCTCCATTTTCCGTGTCCCCTGGAGTTATAATGCCACTGAAGGTGGGTGAGTCGAATGTTATTCTTCTTACCTCACCCGGAGCAAAGAGAATCCTTGCTTTTGCACAAACGGGGTTGTGTGCAGATGCAGAGAACGTGCAACGGTCCAAAACCTGAACTTCCACAACCACACGCTCGATATTTTTCGGCATAAGGAATCGTCGATTGATCACTTCAGAAAGAGGAAAGGATCCGATAAAACCTTCCCCCAAAGGCTGTCTGCTGTTCCTTCTGCCAACCCTGATACGCACCGCAAGATGCATACGCTTTAGCACGGGTCGCAGCGATCTACCGAGGGTTGCAGCCTGTTTTCCATCGACCCAAAGCCTTTGCTTAAGAATGCCAAATGTGCTCGCGGTAAGCGGCTTGTACGCTTGTAGGAGCAACGAAATTGCAAAATTCCCTGTAGATGTGGAACAAGCAGCCAGCGTCGCATTCTCTGGATCAGCCTTGGGCAACGCATCACACAATGGGAGATTCCTCCCCGGTGCTGGGAACGTTGTTTGATGAGCAGTCGAGGCAGGGGTGTAGACACTAACGTTGAGCTTTGAAATGGATGGAACAATAAAAGCGCTTCCTGCTCGGAGCACCTGAGAGCTTTGAGACCTTGAAGACTTCGTCCAAACTCCAAACTCACACTGCTCACCACCGAAAGCCGCTGACCCTGCTAGACTTAGGGAAATTGTTGATGCTGATGCAACGGTAATGGAGTTTTGCGGGGGGAGTGTGAAACGCTGCAGCGAGGGAGTGGTGCTGTTGTCAGGCATTATCATTTCCACCACAAAGCGCGTTAGCCCCCTGGTGCAACGAATCTCCAGCACCGTCTTCTCGTCCTCTTTGGGGTTATTTTGAGGTTTCACCACAAGAACAGGCTTCCGGTTCCCTGGACCATCGGAGGCAACAAGGCCCTCCAATGAGTTCACCACCCACTTCCATGAGGGCGGAACTGCATATTTGTGCTCTGTTGCTTTGCAGCCGTTTTCGCCTGGAACGGAGCCGGCGCTGCAACGACAGTCACCATTTCCATCATCAAACGAACCCGGTGGGCACATCACACACTCCTCCCGTGCATTCCACTTATTGCCGCTTCGACGGGTATATCCCCACGGACAGGGCGGTGCCGGTAACTCCACATACGTCCCCACATCAACCGAGGCGTCGGTCGCGTTCTGAGTGCCACGGCCACGGACTCTACCCCCGAATGAATTTGATACGGTGGAAAAGCACTCATACAAAGAACTCGGAGGTAGACTGCCATTCAGGCCAGGGGCGCGCCGTATTGCCTGGGTGACACACTCAGCCAAAGAAACGTTGCCATCAAAAATGTTTTTCACGTGAGGCTCTGTTGACAAATGAACAAGCGACCTTTCATAGAAATCCAGCATGTATTTGCGATTTCTCGTGACGATTTCATTCGAATCTCCCAACGCTTTGAACCGTTCCAGTGACCAGAGTGCATTGGTGGAATCTGTTCCATTCATCATATTTCCGTACGCCAGACGAATTGGAAAATCTTCAAACAACATCATTGCCAGAGCAAAACACGTTGTTATGCACGGCAGGCGGCCAAGCGGATCCAAATTCTTCGGTGTGCCATCGGATAAAAATTTGAAGCCACGAAAAAGTGAATCAAGGTCTTGTTTAACGCTGCTGGCAATGAAGTCCCCCAAAAGGGTTTCATCAGAGTAATTTAGCCATTTATCGAAGTAGGTTGAGGGGTTGCAATACGCATGAGGCCCCAGAAGTGATCCTCCATTTTCTGTGCTGAAGGTATTCACCGCATCCTCAACCTCGCCAACCGACGTTTTCATCCACTGCCTCACAACCATCCATTTGTCCATTACTTCGGCGTAGGCCCCATTTACGAGTTCCCTGCCCCTTGCGCTCACGGCCTCGACAAAGGCCTGCTTATCCTCCTGAATGGTATTCTTGTCCCACCCAAGGACCACAACTTTCCACAGCGTCTTTCCAGTCTCAGCAACTTTCCGTGTTCGTCTGATGGAACGACGAAGCCGCGCACGCAATCCATGAACCCAGAGAACATGATTCACAAGTAAGTCGGCTCCTCCTCTAAGAATTTGTGAAGAGTTTTGTGTCTTACGAAGGCGTTCACGGTAGGTCCAATAGACTGTTGAATCTCGTATGTTCATATTGCATTGCTCTGGAGTAGAATTTAACGATGCCACACATGGTCTGTCTTTTCCCTCGGGAAGAACATAACAACCTTCCACTATGTCCAGTTGGGCTTCAGAGGCAGTGGAGGTTTGATTCAAACGCTGCACGGGCAGCGTCCCATGGAGCCGATCGAGGTCATTGAGTGTGACAGGAAGCACAATGCGAGATTTCGCAGAAGATTCCGATCCACACACCACTGGTATGTCCTGCTGCCCCTTAGACAAGTAGAGATGTCCACCGTCAAAGGCCATAAATGGAGCAAGGGCAGATTCTGCCAGTTCGATGGTATCAGGCATGGGGCCCTTTGGCTCGGTAAAGGGCAAACCTGCATGCACACCAGCGACTGCAGTAATCAGGAGCAAACCGAAAAAGCACGCGTTCATCATTTTGGCCATGAAAGCCTTCAAATCTATTTTAGCCGAGAGCACCTTATAACTGGTAACATAAGGCGGGGAAAGCAACAGAGAAAGACAAGAGGAATATATATATATATCGCATGCCAACCAACCAAACAAACAAAGGAGCAAACAAATGGTTTTGCAAGGTAAAGCAATCAAAATGACACAACATGCGCCCCTTTTCTCGCTCGCAACTGGCAACAAAATTAAAAAAATATATGAACTAAACAAAATGTACATCAATACATGATCTCTTTGAATATATAACACACGCAGGTAAAAAAATAGAAATTGGAAAAACACAAGCACGATGGCGACTGATGCACATTCATCAGCACTACACATGGCAATACCGTCTTCCATGTCAAGATTTGACGAAACTAAAAAGCTTTCTGCCAGTTGTTTCTTTTCTCGCCCTTCTTTTATCTTCGAGCCTTATTTGACATCGATGGCACATCTTCACAATTCCACTCGCACACCGTCTTTATGGCTGCCGCGAGCGTGGTGAAGTAATACGCACGTTCCGAGGTGTCATCTGGGTCGCGCATTAGGTCGATAAAACGTTCAATTATGCAAAGCTCGGGGACATCTGTCTCACACAACAGATGTATAAAGAGTGGAAATATTTCGTCAGCGGTGAGTCCCCCTTTATCGAGTCGTGCTATGAGGGCAGCATTCAATTGGAGTTCTGGGACGTTGAGCTCCTCCTCCTCCTCCTCCTCCTCAATGTCGTCAATAATTTTATTTAGACTGAGTGAGAACGACATTTTTCGGGACTCTCCGCGGCCATGGCAACAAAGTTGGGATGCGGAGTCCATGGATACACGATCCAACGAATTTTTCCCACTCACCACAAGGTCATCAGAGAAGGAAGATGCCGGGACCTTCTGCGATACGGCAAATAATTCCATTGAATTAAAGCACGAGTCAATACTTCTCAGCACGTCACTTTCCTTTTTCTCCTCCCTTTCCCCACGCTTCAAAATAACCTTCTTGTTCCCGTGTAGCGTCAGGGGCCGAACAGCTTTTGCCTCCGCCGGCATGCTCCTTCGTGGCAAAGCCGCAGTATGGCGGTTCATGACGGCGTTGCCGCAAGCACCACGCGTAACGGAGTTGATTGCCACCGCGGCAGCAGTCTTACGAGAATATCTTGCTGCCACATAGACTGTCAGGAAGATGCATGCGGCAATATTGACCACCTGGTCAATGAGGTCATTGGGACTTCGTAGATTTGTCAAGACGTCAAAGTGACGCCGCACGAGTTTGTAGTCAATGGAACGCAGATCCTTTGGCACATTAAATACCTCCGCTGACCTGCCGCGTAGACGCTCACGCTGCCGGTTAAACAACACTTCTTTCCTCAAGAGCGTCCTATCTTCTCGAAGGAACGAAATAATTTTGTCAAAATTAGGCTGAATGACACTTCTCTGCAGAACATCCTCAACACACACTGCGACAGCCGAGCAAAACGACTCCTTGGGAGGCTTCGCGCGCCGCTGCAGCAAATCTTTAAGACACTTATCTTTAATTGCGTTCAGAGCATGACGTAATTTATTTAGATCCATCACGTCTTCCTCGCCTTTTCCTTTCCAGAGATGCGCCAACTCCAGCAGCTCTTCGCTCCCGCTAACCCATCCTTTCAGCAACGCTCTGTTGATGCCGCAACGCAACCCCAACATTCTTGGATTGGACCACGGGTACGGACTATCTTCTTGGCCTTTACGGGTTCCGGGTAATTGAATAGATCCTTTAATGAGCTTCTCCATAAGAATACTTCTGCGCACATCTTCCGCATCCAACAGAATATCTATAGCATTTGCAGACGCAACATAATTTTGAATTTTCAGGGCAATCTCAATGGCTTTCGGTGTATAATAATAATACGTGTGATCACCGGAAACATGTATGTAAAAATAATTTGTTCCCTTGATTCCAATCGCCGTGATGGACGTCAGAGGGAAACTTTTCGTGGCCAGCGGCGGTGCTCCCTTCCGTTGCGGGGGTTTGCAATTATTTATGTGTGTGAGTGTGATCACCAACAGTCGCTCCTGCCGTAACCATCCATAACGATGATGCTCCTTGACTACCGTGTAGCAAAAATCCTTCACTCTACGAGAGCCAATTTCACGTCTCTTTGCCCTGCGGCTCTCCATTGAATTATCCGTTCCGTTTTTATTATTATTATTATTTTTTTTGGCTCCGTTCCCTGTGGACACGCCGCCGTACTCGGCCCCTCACGCACGATCACTCTTATTTGCGTGTCAATCGCGATGAGCAATCGGGAAAAACCGCAAAAACGAAACTGACGACACAAGCGGAAAGAAGAAAAAAAAGGGGGAGAAAAAAGTGGGTAAAAACAGCAAGAAGAACTGCAGCAGAGCACATAAAAAAAAAAAAAAAAAAAAAAAAAAGGAATGCTCACCGTCTCCCCCAATTCAAATCAAAAAATAACAGCAAAGTAAATTAAAAGAAAAACAAATGGCAAACAAAATGTGAAGAAGGGAGAAGAGAATCAACATTTGATGTCGAGATTATAGACGTACTAAGCCGCCATTTTCTTCTCTCGGCTGCGCCACTGCCAGAACTTCTCCATCTCCTCCTTGGAAACGGTTGGGGGAAATTCACGAAGTGCAGCCTCGCAATCATCTCGGCAGACATCCGGAACTCGAAGTTCGGCGGCAGGAATACCAAGAAGAGGCACCGCATTCTCGTCTTCCTTAGAGCATGGAATAAAACAGGTGCCCGTGGAGTGTGATTTTATCATAGCAATCATCGGTTTGACGTATTCTGATTGGGCGATCTTCTGCACAGGCCCCATCACAGCGTGCATGGCAACTTTTTGAATGTCAGACGCCGAGTAGCCCTCCGTGGAGTCGACTAGCCACTCAAAGTCCTCTTCGCTGAGAGAGTGCGGCACGCAATTCAACTCCGACGCAAAAAGCTGCCGACGAGCAGATGGGGACGGAAGACCCACAAAAATGAGATGATCAAAGCGGCGGCGGAAGGCAGCGTCCAAATCCCAAGGCATATTTGTCGCGGCAATAATTGTGACGTTCTCCGAATTTAAACCCTGCATACGAAGAAGCAACTCTGTCTTAATTCGCCGCGAAGCCTCACTCTCACCAGCCCCACCACGAACACTGCAGATGGAGTCCACTTCGTCAAAAAAGAGGACACAACGGGGAAGCCGAAACGCTCGTTCAAATACACGCCGTACGTGTTGCTCTGATTCTCCAACCCACTTGCTGAGGATGTCTGCAGAAGAAATAGTCAACAGTGTGGCTTCGTACTCTGTTGCTGTGGCGGCAGCGAGAAGTGTTTTGCCTGTGCCGGGCGGGCCGAACAACAGAATGCGCCGTGAAGGGCGTCGTCGCCCCTGAAATAGCTGAGGAAACCGCAATGGGAGTGTTGTCGCCTGTTTAAGAGCCGCGATGGCCTCTTCACATCCGACAATGTCCGCCCATCGCACAGCTCGATTACCAGCAGGCTGAATGCATGGGCTTATGCCCACCACAGTTTCCGTCTCCGTCTCAGAATCCCTGCCCATAGCGCACGGTACACAACTCAACGAATCTCCCATCGCCTCCGTGTGACACGTCGTCTCCTTGCCTCGGTGGCCATCACTGGAAGTGTCGCCTTCAAGTTGCAGATCAAGGACACTCATAAATGTTCGAGACACGTGGCCATATATGCTGCTGTGGCACGGCGTTTGGTCATACGCCTGCATGAGCGAGGTACATTGCAGAATATCACGCACAAGGGTTTGAATACGCAGAAGTGAAGACGCACGCGCCTTTCTGCTGTGACCATAAAAAAGAAGCAACTCTCGAGCCTCTGAGGTCAGTTGAAGAGCTTCATCAACTTTTTTTGAGGAAAGGGCCGCCGTCATTCTTAAAGCCTTGCGCCAACTTCACAGTTCTGCAAACACACACACACCACAGGGAATAAGTGTACCAAGACGCATACACATTAAACTGCCAGAGGACAGAAGAAAAAAAGAGGAGATAACATCAATCTCGCGTGTTATTTTAACTTAACCTTGCCCATTACTCGAGTTTTTTTTTTTTTTTCATTTCTTCACGGGGAGCAACAGACTCATGGCGCGTTCCAGTGAATCCAAACGTCCTTCTAAACGAGCCCACATTTTTTCGTTTTCCCCCTGCACAATTGTTCGCACTACTTCTTGCACTTGCTCCAGAGTCAAGGGTGCAGATGCATCAGCGCATTCCCATGGCAGAGGCTCTCGAGAGGACAAAACAATTTGACTAACGACATTTGCCGACAGATCAGCCTCCTTCTCTCCCTTCTTCATTATGGTACTCTCGCTCGCCTCCTCAAAATCATTAAGAAGAGTACCTGAAAGAACCATAACCCCGCGTGCCTCTGGGAACCAAGAACATCCCAGCAGTCGATCGTGACGGCTCTCAAGGCAAAGAACACTGCGGGGCATCATCTGCCCTTTTTCAGTGAAACCAAAAAAAATGGCGCACCGCCCGTCACATAAACATAATTCCCCATACTCGTGGGAGTCCTGGCTTTTCGTACACCGTAGTATCGGAAGCACACTAACGGCCGAATTGAGCCTCGCAAGGGCCTTTTTGCAATCTGTAGACGCTGCATCGATAACTTTTATGTTGACAGTTGATGGCAATCTTTCAACTTTGTCACAGCACGTTCCGTTAACACAAGATCCCGCTGCATTCAACACGGGCTGCGTGGCATTGATAAGAAGAGCGTGGCAATTGACAGATGACGAACGGTCTAATTGTGGCCGTGTCACCATAAGTGAGAAACCCCCCGCGTGCGGTCGACTCGGTGCATTGTGAAGCACCGTATTCCATGATGGCAGGGATGATACAAAGGAGCCAGTTAACTTTGGAATATCAAAAAGAGAACCGTCTGCACGTTGCAACTCCACATCTTCCAACTCCTCCTTTCCCTCCAGCGTTCTGTCACCAAATACACAGAATGTGACTTGTCTTTCAGACTCACAGTGGTCCGATGCGTTCACGGCAATACCGATATAACGCGTTGAAGGCCCCATGATAATGGAACGAATAACAACAGGAGCATCCAAAGCTGAAGTCCACTCCAACACAACAATGCTTCCCAGAGTACATCCGAGCAAAATTGCTGGCCCATTGCGGTGATCCGCGACACCGGCAATGGAATGAAAGGGCCCAAAGTTTAACTCACGACGCTTGTGCTTCATTCCCCCACCTGCGCATTGTTTTTGAAATGCAAAGCACTGCAGTTTCTCATGGCCAGAGGTTACAACAAAAGGACATCCACCGACCGTTATGCCGCAAATATCTAAAGCGTGAGCTACGACGCCCACAAACAACGCCTCATTACCCTCTTCATTATCGGTAGCGTGGTCATCAACATCATCATCGTTATTGTCGTCCTTTTCAACTAGTCCGGAGCGCACGCACACCACTTCTCCCGATGAACTCATGACACCAACCACGCTGACACCCGCCCACACCACTTTGGCAATGCCGTACGGAGGCTCAGTGTTAAATAAGAATGCACACCGCGCAAGAACCATCGCGGACAAATCCGCTGCTACTGTCATGAATGTCAATTCCCCTCGGCGAGTGTCGTCCGCAGACAAAGTGGCGGTCACCAACATACCGCAGCCTCCGCCCGGTGAAAACGACACCGTCGCCATGAGACCACTCGAGGCACGTGCGAACGGTGCCGCTACAGGGGGTACATGCGTCACGCCACCTACCAACTTCGTCGTCTTTTTCCCCATCATCCCGCGGAGAAAAAGGAATACAAAAAAATCGTTCTATTTAAAATAGCCCCTCTCAATAATAATAAAAAAGATGGCCGGCGTACTAAAAAAACAACAACGAATAAAAGCAGATGATAGCACAAGACAGAAACACAAACGCACACTGATACACACACAGAGAGAGAAAGACACACGCAGAAGAAACAACAACAACACAAACCAATCCAAAATGCAAATATTTCCTTCGTATTTCAATCTCAGCGCTTAGTAGTTCAACTTAGCGCCAGAAGGAAGTTTATGCACCGTTTTGGCCCGCTCTGCCTTCGCCCTCTGCGCCTCCTCGTACGCCACTCTTCGAGAAAGTTGAAACTTGACGACTTCGCCTGGTTTGGGGTTGCGCGATGAGTGCAGGGCCTGCAAAAACGCGCCCGCGTGGTCCATAAGGAATCGCTGCTTCTCGGGGTCAGTCTCTTGGCAGTGCTCGCGCCACTGTTCGATCAGACGCTTTTGTAAAAACTGACGAGCGTGACGCGACTTCACTTTGATGTCAATCGAGCGATAACACATCCGCAGCAAAGAATATGCGGATGAAATCTCAAGAACCTCTTGCTGAGCATTCGTGTGAGTCGTTTTGGGGGTACTCATTACCCGCAGTGTACGACGAAGCATGGACAATGTGTATTCTAAATATATATGTGTGGTATATGCGTTTTGCGCAGTCTTCCTTTTCTTCCCGAGCCCAGTAAACCCTTAATTACTCAATAAGGCGTGATGCAGCAAGGTGTCGACACAAAAACTCGCTTACAAGGTAGACATGCTATTTTTTTTTTTTTAGGTGCGGAAAAAAAGAAGAAAAGAAGATGTGCCAATGCTCAAAACGACATGAAGAAGCAACGGACCCCACCACCTTTTACCACAAAGCAAAACATTAGGAACACACAGGAGGGAAAAAAAAGAATTGACAAACAGAAAATTTCACTGCTATTTACATTGCGGTTGCTGTGGCATAGCCAAAAAAAAAAAAAAAACTTATTATTATTATTCCATCTCCCTTTCACATTTCCCATCATCATCATCACCAGCATCAGAGGTTTTTGGCGGGCAAGAGAGAGGGGTCATTTGTCACAAATGGCCGATACGTCACAGGAAGAGCTCTATCGTCTAAACGCTGCATTTCACATGTCCTTCGGGCAAAAGCCTCAAAAAAACTTCCGCCTTCAGAAAAATATCGCAGCGTTGACCGATCCTTCAGGAAATCACGTGCTGCGCGGTTACGTTGACAGGCCTTATGAATACGGTGTAGGTACGCCTCGCCATTGCAGGCGATAATCCCTTTAAGTGATACATGTATGAGGTTTGACTTCCGTATGGCTGTCGAGAGTGCTGCTGCCTTATTGTCAGGCACCTCTACACCGTCAAGAAGAAGAACTTCCAGATTTCGCATTCGGGGAAGACAACTAATAAGCGCACACACTTCGGCGCATGTAAGAGCTGTATAACTAAGATCCAACTCCTCCAGAAGTGAACATCCTTGGAGGAGGAAGTCGTAGAAGGATGTGATGTCACTACCACCAAAACGATTGCCATGCAAACTCAGCCTTCGAATAGAAGTGCGCTCCAACAGCATTGCCATCATGTTTGAACAGGAAGCATCAATCCAATTGTAAGAAAGGTTTAAATATCGCAGTTGGGGCTGAATTGAACGGCACTGATTCAAACCACACAAAATCAACAAAAGTGTAGCTGCCCCAACCTCACAGAAGGAAAGTGAAAGACATTCTAAATTCTGAGCTTCATTACGTAAAATTCCTTCAAAAAGTAGTACACTTGCCCGGTCGGGGGTTATCGAGATGTGATCCATGTGGAGGAGGGAGAGGACAGAGCTTCGTTGACGCATATGAAGAGCGAGATCAGCAATAAACTGATTCTCTGTCTGAACGTTTCGCAGCAAAAATGGAATAAGCGGTGGGTGGTACTCATTCGGATTCACAGTGGCGGGTAAAACACGCATGGAGAGCCACCACTCCCCCGCAAAACGAAACTCTTCCTTCCATTCCGGCCGGACACTCGGTGTATTCCACGAACACCGCCTCGGTGCGGTGCAAACGTTTTCAAAAAGGGCTTCCACCACCTCGTCAACAATGTGGGAATGCGGCGCGTCCGGCGATGTCAGGTACGCCGCTTCCTCGTCCGAAAACGTCTCCAGTTCCAGCATCATTATGTTGCCTACGATATCGCCGCCCATTTCCATGAGCGAAGGCTTAACGCGATCAAAGGGCCGCCGAAGTTTGATTTCGCGATGGCGTTCCTTCCCCACGCCCGGCAGTTTGTTCCTAAAACCACGGTCCCGTCGTGGCGCCGTGAACTGCAGCTCATGGCGCTCCGCTCTCGCCAGAGACGGCGACACCGTCCGAGGTAATGGTGAGCCGCCCAATACCGTCAGTGTTTCAGTCTTCTAACAAAAATGTGGCAAAGCAAACAAAATGAACAGAGAAGAAAACGTTAGGGCACACAAACACTCACACACACACAAAAAAAAAATACAGATTCTCATAGATACAAAGAGAAAAAAAAAACCTCAGAGAAACAGAATTTCCTGATTATTATTATTATTTTTTTTCGCACTCCACTGAGGCATTGTCCATTTACCTCTTTCTCCTCTCTTCCCACGGCCATCTTTTTCGTTCGTGCATGTGTGAGTATGCGTGTAAGTATGTATTCCCCGCTCCCGTAACTCGTAACAGACCGTCATGCTTTCACGGAAGCGAGGAGCTCGATGCCGTCCAGCTCCGTCAGGCAACCCGGCCAACGGCGTCGGAACGCAGCCAGTTGGTGTAACATAAATTTTTCTCGTCTTGACATCTTTTTCCAACGCTCCGGTGTATCGTGATCATACCCCAGGGCGTGTAGTAACGCATGCGTCAACGCTACCTGCAAGTAGTCATGAAATGGCAAGTTTTTATGGGGGTATCGAAGGCAGCGCATCCACATCTCTTCCACACTGACATAAATTTCCCCAAGGTCTAACAGTAAGTCACGTCTTGACGGTGCCGCCCATTCTGATGCACGCAAACCATCCGATACACAAACGATATGAGATTTGTCGGGGAAAAGCACCCCATTCACCCAAGATGCATCCGGTGAGCCACTTCCACTGCCGGAAACTGTCAGAACATCCGTCGGTCTGTCGATCCCTCGGCGTTCGTGGTTTAATAGTTGCATCTGCGACAGCCGAATGAAGTGAATGGACAGCTCCACAGACGGTGGGGCATGTTCCAGCCACAGCACCGCCTCTGCCAGTCTTTGCACGGCATCACCTAATTTATGCGTCGCGCCATAAACCCGGACATGACTGAAGAACGGTCGCGGCATTGCCCTCTTGCAGTAAACATACAAATAAGACACATAAATAAGCACAAAGAGAAAAGAACAAGTACAAGCAAAAGTAAATATATATAACGGTTATGCAGACGACTCTCTAAAAAGTCGGAAAAAATCTGCCCTCACACACTCACAAAAACACCCAAAAAATTAAACTCTACTTGCCACAAGAAGAATTTAAAGTTGTTGAAAGGAAATAGACTGCCAACCTTCGGGTGGCTTTTGCGCCGCTTTCACGTGAGACGCCCGAATGAAGTCTTCACTCCAAGGTATGAAGGCATTCGTCGTCTTTTTGCCTCCTCTGGCACGTACACATTGGATCCACTCCGCGGGTTCAATGGGGGGCACATTCCAAATATTCGTCTCAAAGGCTGCAGCTACGGACTGAGAAGAACTGCCTTTACGCGTTTCCAAGCTTACATGTCTTGCCACCGTTTCAAGAAGCCGCACAAGAGCGGATGAAACCACCCCAGAAAGTCGCTCACCCAGAAATTTGCGAAACATGCGGGCAAAAAGCACCAGGTGCATTGTGTCCACCTGCAGTTGTTTTTTTCGTACCTCGCTGATTTCCTTTTCCTCCGCAACAACGGCAATTGCCAATGCACTCCTCTCCCACACGTGGGCAACAATCTGACGACAGGGCATATAATCTACCATTTGAATAGGATACCCGCACCAATCCACAAGACCCACTAATGAATTGAAGCAAAAGTAGATAGTGGGGTGCACTCCATTTAGAAGAAAGCATGACGAAGATGCGCTCCAATTCAAATTCCAGTAGCTCGGGAAAGCGACGTCTTCCACAAACCGTAAGCTGTAGCGTTCAATTAAGGAATTGTATGCATCTACCAACTCTATTTTAGCGGAAGAAAAGGTGGTATTACTGCCTGTGAGGTGGTACTCCTGTAGAAGCTCAATAATTCCTGTCAATTCCTGCAGCAAACCCAAAGGCGGGATAAGCGACGAAAACGTCATCGTTCGCTGGCGTAACTCAGAGATGAGCAGTTGCATAATTTCCCCAATGCATGCGGTGTTTGCTTCGCTGATCGAAGCGACATCCTTCACGGATGTGGAAGAAGCAGACATCACAAGCGGTTCCAAAAGAGACCGTGCACACAAGATGGGTGAATCACTCGCCAAAAACACAACGCCCTGCTTGAGAAAAATCGGCCAGAGCAAAAGAAGTGCCTCGTAGACATCATTTTTCAACATGGAACAGTTCAGTGCGGACCACAGAGTGATCATACTTCTACAGGCCGTTTCAAAGGCATTCTTGGACCGATACTGCGGGCCCATCGCACTCCTCACTCGCTGAAGGAGGTACGAGCAGTCAAAAGTGCCCACGCGACTATCATCGAGGGTTTGCTTCGGCGATGGATCATGAGACATCCATGCGCACAGAAGCTCCACTCTAAATTCGTTAGTTTCGGTTCCTCAAAATACAGAAAAAAAAGAAAAAAGAGTGTGTGCATATACATACATTATATATATGAGGGACCGGGTGTGCGTAAGAACATGTACAATATTGCTGACGGTGCCGCAACTAGTCACGCAAAACAAACCAATTTCACCGAACTCGCATGAAGGACGCTGCACTACAACACTCACACGCTGAATAAACATCCCGGTCATTTACACCTTGCGTCACTCAGCAAAATCAAATACACAAAATAAATAAATAAAAACACGCACATGTCACGACACGAAACGACGCAATTGATATTTCACTCGAAAAATACACAAGCAAAAAAAAATTTACTTTTTTGGCCTCATCGACCGGTTCTCCCTCTTCTTTACAGTCTTTCGATCGGGCTTCCCTTCCATCCCGCCCACTACACGAAAAAATTGATAATCGTCCCCCTCCAACTCGCCAGCAAGCTTCTGACGCAAAGAAATGTTCAGTTCAATCTCCTTAATAGTCTCCTGAAGATTCAAAATACCATCTGTGAGACGACGGTCCTCCGTGACACACTGCTCCACTGCCTCTCGAAGCTCACTTTCAAGTTTGTGTAGTGACTCCTTCAGTGTCATCTCCTCAAGTTCTCGCATTTGTAGTTCACTTTGAAGTCGTTGGTTTTCAAGAAAGAGTGACAGCCACCGCTGTCGATCGACAAAATGATGCCTCGTAAGGTACATGGTGTTGGATTCGCCCCATTCATAGAAGCTCCCCTCATTCTTTTGTGGGGTCGCTTCTTCTCTTTGTTGATGTTTTTTCTCCCCGCCTTCATACTCCGCACGGTGAAGGTCAAGCTGGTGCTTGATCATCAAAGCCAGCTTTTCATTCGATGTCTCTAATTCCGAGTCATACTTGGCGTTGATATGCTTCTTCTTGGCTTTTTCCGCGACAACATCCCCCGCATCATCCTCTTCAAGTGTCGTCGGGAGATTATCCCGCTCCGGGTACTGTACGCGCTGCACCATGCCCGTGTCCACGTCAAGCGTCATAACGATGCGGTGCACAAAGGCATCACTATCATAATCCCAAATCTGTTGCGTCAAGAGACTCATTGAAAACAAATGCCTTTGCTGACAAAAATGCTCCCTCGCATGTTGTGCTTGGTATCGGCTGCAGCCCACGAAGCCACACACCAAACAAATCCAAGGATCACCTAAAAGGTGACATTCACCACAATAAATTTCATTACCTCCACGCTGCATTTTAATTGCGGTTTGGCATACAATACATGAAGACTCTTCAGTAAAACATCTGCACTCCCTATCGGGTGCACAGCGGCACGTGCGAGAGGTGTAACCCGTGAGTGTCGGCTCCAAACGTTCCGCACAAATCGTGCACGTTGGAACAATATAGTATCCAAATGCAAGCTCCTCATCTGATATATCGTCCTTTTCACATGGAAATGCCAGCACACGCCGGTAGCCAATGCACGGTGCATCACCTTCTTGAGACAGGGAAAGAACAGACATGGCAAGTAACAGCTCATAACATTCTATTATTACAACCGTGCACCCAGAAAAGGTGCACACCAAAATCTCCTGAACAATGAATTTTCCACTGCTCTTCTCCTTCAGCCATATCAGATAGTTGGAAACATGTTCCACGGTCTCTTTTTTAACCGTACACCCCTCCAGTGGATCGCATGTCGGGAACAAGAGAAGGATGTGCTTGGTCGGTATAAATGGAACAAAAAACTCTCTTTTAAAGCTCAGTCGTCGGAGGAGCTGCACTCTGCCAAAGACCGCCTTCACAGGGGGATTGCCCTCAAATTCACATAACTGATCATTGCACGAGGGATCCTCGAGTGTGTAGCGAAGCATTTCTTCAAATAAAACTAAAAGAAGGGAACAAAACGCAAAGCAAATAAAGGAGCAACCCCCCAAACTCCCGCACTTTTTTTCCCTTTTTTATTCTTTTGAAATCCTTTCCTTTAATTCTTTTTGCTCTCCGCCTCGGTGTCTTCACTTGAGGTGAAGAGATTTGCGGGACCTAAAGGGGAAACAACAACAAAAAAAGAAATAGCAAAAACAACAACAAGAAAAAAGTAGGGACTTGACAGAAAAACGGGAAAAAACATATTTGGGCATCAGTTTCGCTCGTCTTTATCCTTCGCTTCCGTGCCTCGTCTTGCCACTTGTCACAGTGCGTCTGCGGCCCACATGAAATCTTTCGTGGTGCCGTCCTCAGTACTTTGTTCGCAAGTTAAACATCACTGGCCTCTTGGGTCGAAGATCCGGATTCCGCTCCCCTTCCAGCGTGCTCTCTTCCTCACGCCCACCGCCCGCTGCCTTGGCGGCCGCGCAGGCTGGGCAGCCACCCCCACGCACAACACGTTTTTCAACGCTCATCAAAAAGGAATGTTGACACGCAACGCACCTCCACCAGACAGGGGTCACATGGCCGATGCCGACAATTTCCGGGTAAAGATGCATTGGATTCTTTTCGTGATCCCACTCCGCCGCAATCTCCGGTGCGGCCGTCTTTAGTCGCGTCGGAAGGTGAAATCGCTTAGCAAGGAACATCTCGACACGCTTGCGGTTTGCCACGCGGATGTAGCTGGCTTTGAATCGACGCGACATGACAAGATGTCCGCTGTGGGTACCAAATTCTGAGCGCAACGACGAAGAGAGCGGCAGCGATGATGATGATGATGCCGATGGCGCGCGCAGAGCCGGACTGCAACAGAGACACGCCGACGCACCGGCGAAGGCAAATCGCCGCATGTGGGTTCACTCCAGCTACAGGCCATGCGCAGAAACAAACAGAATAATAATAAAAGAAAACAAGCGGGTGGAAAAAAGTTGTACCCATGCAAAGGGGGGCAACAGAGACAAACTTAACGCGACGCAGCATCATTTTTTCTCCGTCGCCACAACTCCACAAGACAGAGTGGGACCGCAGTGCATGTACTTCCAGTGCGAGAAGAATCAGAAAGAAAAAAAACACTGCGGTACTGGCATGCAAAAACCGTGGAAAAAGTGATAAGAAATACTGCCATCACTGGCGGATTGATGAACCGATACGCGGCCGTGGTCCGACAATCGCGTGCGCAACAAGAAGACAAAAGAGCCCTCGCCAATCGCTTTTCAGCGCCATCCCAAATAACATCGGTCACGCACCACCAAAGAACCCGAGCAACAAAAAATACGCCATGCCACCCCTCTCCCACGTGCGTCTTATCATCACAACATCAAAATGCGATGGTAATACACTCAGCACGGGCGTGATGCTCGGTCGTACATGTTTGCATCCTTCATTCCTCGTGGGACTGGGAGTGAATAGACTATTTTGTGAAAGTAGGAAGAATTTTTTAAGAAGTCTAAAAAAAAAAAAACAATGAGAGCAACAAATGACATGGTGGGAATGCAGCGGAGCTGAGTTTCAATCACGTGCTCAGTTGCGGCCATGTTTTTTTCTTTAAGACAAACTTCCCTCTCCCCCTCACGAACCCGACAATTATTCTTTCATGGAAATCCACTGACCGCACCCACAACTGTTCTCCTTTTCCCCCCTCCCTTCCACCTAGCGCAATCCCATCCACTTGAAACGATTGCACACAACAACCCACGTTGATCAACAGAGCTACTACTCCCGCACCAACTAAAAAAATCCAAAGCAAAATAAAAGAAAAAAACTTTGAAGCCAGCGCACGCACAAAAACAATAATAATAATAATAATAACAGGAGGGTGGGCGCCTTGTCGGCGTAAAATGGGGGACGTGCTTACGAGCTTAGAACGAGCACTTCACCACTTCCCATTCCTCCGCCAACACAACGGGATGTGACACCAACACTTTTTCCACGCTTACGAAGCTGGTAGACCATGTCCACCACCTGCCGCACTCCTGTGCAGCCGAGGGGATGACCAAGGGAAACTCCACTGCCCCACTGATTCAGCCGCTCTACATTTAACTCTGGAAACTCCTTCATTCCGGCACCTACCACGGCCGCAAAGGCTTCATTCATCTCAAAGTAGTCAACATCGGCGAGTTTCATCCCGGCTCGATCCATAAGTTTCGGAAGTATTTTGAAGGCTCCCTCGCCCATAAGTTCCTTTGGTACCCCAATATTGCCGTATGCGCGCAGTTCGGCCAATACGGGAAGACCCAACTCCTTTGCCCTCACTTCCGACGCCAAGACAACGACTGCTGCCCCATCGTTCATGGTGCTTGAATTGGCAACAGTAATCGTTCCACCTTCTGGTTTAAAGTATGGCTTCTGTTTTGTGAAATGAGCCATGTCAAGTTTTTTGGGTCCCTCATCCTTCTCGACCCTCCGAACACCTTTTCGATCAAAGACGTCCACAGGTGTAACGTAGTCAAACATACCTTTTTTCCAGGTAGCTGTCGCGTTTGCATGAGAACGAAAGGCAATTTCATCCTGCAACTCCCTTGAAACGCCATACTTCTCCACGAGACGTTCTGTCAAGAGTCCCATAAGTTCCCCCCCATTACCAACGTTGCAGTCCGTGAGTGCCTCCATGAGGCCATCCACGAGAGTGAGATCACCGTAAAGTTTGTTTTTAGTGCGACACGTATACAAGTAGCGGGGGGTGTTTGACATACTCTCCACACCGCCGGCCATTCCTACAGAAATTTCCCCCAAAAGGATACGGCGAGCCACGTCATGAATGGCCGCCCCACCGGATGCGCAGTTTTCGTGCAGCATTGTTCCTCCCGAAGTGATGGGAGCGCCGACATCTTCACAGACCATCCGGGCTATGTTTGGTGTGCGCCCATCCATTAGAACGCGACCAACAGTCATATACTCAATAAGTTTTGGGTTACATTTGGATTTTACCAGCGCCGCCTTGGCAATTTGGGTAATCAGCTGCCGTGGAAGAAAATCCGCCAGTTCACCGGCAACAGAACCAATGGGGCTGCGCGCCCCACCGCAGATAACAACTTTAGACATGGGTTTTGTGGTTTTACTTCGAAGGAAATGCAAAAGTGTGTTGACACCGCTAAAGCCGCAGATTTATATGGATTCAGGAATAGAAAAAAAAATCAGTGAAGGAAAAGAATGCATAGGAAAAAAAAAAAAAGTGTGAAGAGGGAAGAAAATGCCTAACAGCAGAGGCACTACAACTTCCCATGAAGAAATAAGGCGAAATCAGTTTGAGGAGTCACTCAATTCAATAGGAATTGGTCAGACATCTATAATAACACAGTCATCGCTCTGATTGCTGACATCATCGCTGACTTTATTCGAGCAAACCCAGTGGAGAATAGACAGCTCGGTATTCGTCCGTTTGCCAGAGACTACATGCCGGGCAACATTCTTCTCACCCATTCCTCGTGACACCATCCTGCCATTGAAGTCATCAGCTTTAGCCACAAACTCAGGCTGTTTATCTCTCGTCACACTCCGGCTCTCGTTCTCCCCACTAACTCCTTCTTCCTTAACCTCAGTAGTTGACGACACAAATAAACCATCGGCAGAGCTACTGTTCTCAGAATACTCATCAATGAATATTACACCTTCGACTGCAGTCGTGGGTGCAAATGGGTTTCGCTGTTTCCGTGCCTTTGAAACTTTTTCAGACGGGCCATGCAGAGTCTTCCTTTCACTCCCTCCCACTGCAAGAGGTGACTTGGGGACCAGAAACCGAGAAAGTGGCTGAACATTGGAGTAACGCTGACGCAGTCGTGGAGCCTTTTCTGCAAAAAAAACCTCATATTTCTGAAAAAGCTCCAAAGACACCGTCGGTACGATGCGTGTGGGATTCATAAACCCCACAAAATCCACAAGTTCCGTAAAACTACTGTGCTCACTGTACGGTACATGGAGCAATGTCACACGCTTGCTTAGAATTTGCCTGCGCGCCTTTCGTGTCCATCCACTGGGCTCCACGCAGAGAACGCCGTCAAACTGTTTAAGGTCAATCCCCTCATCACCCCATAGTGGAAAAACCTCACCACGCGGGGAATTATTCCGGTGACTACCGTCTACACCCTCTTCCGTGGCACTGCCACTCCGCCGTCGTTTGGGCCGGCCTCCACACGCAGCAGCAAGTACAGGGTACGTCACGGAGGAAAGTGGAACGAGGAAGATCGTTAAATAGTGTGCAATCTCTTTACTTGAAACTTCGACAGGATCCAAAGAAGAAAAAAGATCTCGCGCGACCATTGATGAACACGATAATGTATCTTGCGGGAGCCTTACCGCATGTTTGGTGACGACTTCCAACGTTGAGCCCCCGCCCTTTACTTCGCCTTCACGCCGGGGCAATGTCATAAAATGGTCGCGATAATATTCCAACTGCCGCAGGGACTCGTACTTCTCTGGAGAAACGTACGTTGGAACGACGTTGCACGTCGAATCTTCGACACACAGCGGTAAGAAATTTTCCTGAATAGAAACTGCAATGCGTTCCTTTCCAATAAAATAAGTTCCAATAAGGACCGCCACAGAAATCGCATGTTCCTTCGCCTCATGCCCCCGTGCATTCATTTCTTTAGCCACACCCTGCAGAGAAGATGTGTGGTCGCGGAACATCGACAAAATCGCCTGATTCACTTCCCGTAAACTATCTGCACGAGAGGGAAAGTTAAAACGCTCGTCGCAAAATGTATTGTCAAGAAACAAAACATCAACTTTCCCCGCAACAGATTTCAAGACGGGGTTTGTCATCATGTCAATTTCCTTTTGAAAATGAGGCATTCGAGGCACGTGAGGCAGCAGGAAAGAATTAGGTTGCTCGTGTGTAAATCGAAAGTCTCCTGTATGGAGAACCGTCCCAAAGACAGGGGATCGAAAAAGAAACATGACGGAGCCTGGACAATGGCCTGCTGGAATCAGCGTAACTGAAAAAAATTCATCAGAACAACGCCATTCCTCTTCGTCCCATGTAGTCTCGTACAGTAACGCCCCGTTCTTTAATGAAAAAGTGTACGTTACACAAAAGTCCATGCGTTTTACGCGTGATTCTGGAATCCCCAACCGCCAGCACAAGATATTTGCAGTGCCGCGGCTGGCGTAGATGGTTCCGTGGCTCCAGCCCTCGGTGACGCCGTTGTAGTGATCGGAGTGAAAATGAGAAAGAAAAAATAACACGCGAAATGGAATGAGGTCACTCGCCAGACAGCTGTCATTCCTGTCTTCCCGACAGGACTTCATGTATGCATGTGTGTGACGGAGCGCATCTACCAGAATAGCCACCGTTTCACCTCGATACACCTCTCTGGAACGCATGTACTCCGCTACAACATTTTGCTTCGTTGTGGATCGACGCGTCGTATTTGCTACGGACTGAAATATCTGCACACCCCCGCACCTTTTGGCCTCTATAGTCATTCGTTAAACCCCAACCCCCTTTCCCCTCCACACCCCGACAGCAAAATAATAATAAAAGAAAACGCATCGCAAGAGGGAAGCACAGACTCAAACACGCCGACAAACGCCAAGTAATTTAATAATTATAATTATATATATATATATATATCACTCATTTCATTCTTCTCCCGTCATTCACCGAATGACACAACTCTGTGACCCATTTCCTTGCTGTTATCAGTGTCCCCAGCGTCCACCACAAGGCCTAACGCTTTGATGAGGCTGAATTAAATACAGAAAAAAATGGATTTCGCTCTGCATCCCTATCATCCTCATTGGCCACAGGAGGATCCATAAAACCAATAACCCGCATAAAAGACAGATACAAGAACTCTTGCATATCCATAAGTCCGCCTAATATTGTGCAAGCCAGGCCCACTGCCGTTCCAAGGGCAAAAAGATCTGGAGTGAACATTGCGAGTTGAGGAAGAAAGCGATAGAGCAGCATCCCTGTCAACATGAAGATAAAAAAACAAACACCTAGAATGAGGGTCTTAACAAGTTTCCGGAAAAGAACACCAGGTGTCACAATGACAATGTTCTTCCCAAGCAAGCGCGATCGTGCTTCTTGTGCCTCGCAAAAAGCGATAAGCCCTATGCAAAGAACGAGAATAACACACGCTGTAAAACCGGAGTAGAGAAGGGAATTGTACACGGCCAAACCTGCATTGTCTACAATCAATTCCGTTTCATTTACAGCTGAGAAGCCTTCTACCACGTCCCGTAGTTTGGCTGCGCTGTTCTCTAAGAAAGAAACAATGTCCCCTGTTTTACCATCGTGGTCTGTCATGCGCCAAATGCCCATAATCGAGATGGAAACTGCAACAATCCCACCGTAGCGTGAACGACAGGCGTTGGTGGCAAAATTGTATAAAAGACAGAGGTTTAACCACCACAAGAAAAGAATTCCCCAAAGACGAAAGGAGCCCACATCCGTCAGGTATTCCATCTGATGCGCTATAAAAGATATCGCCGTGACAATACAAAGTGAGTACTCCGTTGAACAGGAGTCTATAATCGCAGGAATCCAAACAGTCATCAAGAAAAAAATGAGCCAAATAAGCAGCAGCTCCACCACATGAACACTCACCACCAAAGCCAAAGCACATAGGAAAATGACAAATAAAATTGCCGCACATTTGACAGTGCCACGAATAGTTTGATTTATCGATGACACAACAGATGTCGTTGCAGTCCAACCCCCGCGTTTGGAGGGACCAAAAGCGTAATTTACCATTCCAAGAAGTACCAGAGTGGATAAAAACAAAATCCATGAACTCAGCTGACCCCACTCATTATGCCAGTACATAAGATAAATTTCTACCAGACACCGTGATATCATAATTGTGACAATGTACCAACGCAGTGCCGCTTGGGCTCTTCGAGGTACGTCTCGCAATAAACGGTAACAGCACCCAATTACCACAGCGGGTACTACACGCTCCAAAAATGATAACAGCATAGCCCTTAGAATTTCTAATTGAATAATTAAATGCGGGTTAGTTTTCATCAGAAAAGGATCAAATGTTTTATTCTCTACACCCTGGAAAACTTCTAGAGCGAGGCATCCCAGCGATGTTGGGTCAGAAAGTATTCGGGCCACAATCTCTTTGAGAGCTGCCATGGCTTCGCATCCAAAGAATAAGCACACAACGGCGGCAGGCCACCATTTACGCCCCCCACTGAGGCCGGACTCATGCAGCCCAGCATGAAGGGCGCCACAGGCAAACAATCGGTAAGAAAAAAATGCCAAGACGGATAGAGCAACACCATACAGGGTGAGGCAAATTCGTTCATTGAATGACATCTGCTCAAGAATTCGCTGATACTCTTCTGACCAAACAATTTCCGTCCCAAAGGAGCGGTGAAGGGAGACGGCAAGCCATCCGACCAGCGTAATTTCGCGAAGAGGAAAGAGAAAAAACAATCCAGAAAGGGCAAAGACTTGATACCACTGCGGGAGATGCTCCAGCGAGTGATAGATGCTGCCAAGATAGAGGTCCTTCTCTGCGGAAACGCCCCCCGCCATGCAGTCGTGACCACTAATAAAAGTGTTATGTGCTCCCTGCAAGCACCGTAAAAGGCACCGACAATCAAAAAAAAAAAAAAAAAAGACAAAACAAAATTTACACAAGAAAACGACACAAAGAAAAAATACGCAGACGCGCACAAACACGCACACACAAAAAAAAAAAAAAAAGAAAAAATGGAAATAACGGCATAACAAAATTTGCAAATGCCCCCTATGCTTTTTTTTTTTTTTCTTGTGGATGTAAACGACATCGATAAAAACAAAAGAGGATGAAACAAAAAGTAATTGATGTTTCCTTTTAAAATATTTTTATTATTCTATGTCCTTTTTCGTTTAATTCTTTGCGGATTCTGTGAAATCTGTGCCTTGTTTTCCGTAATTTCTCTTTTGCGCCTCCATCCGCCTCCTCATTATCAGCTGAACAACCCAACCCAACACAACCAACCATCCACCTCTTTTCCCATTCATCGTCCGCAGTACCATTAGTAACGACGGCATCTTTTTATTTTTAAAGCAATAAATCATCAAACGAACGGTGGCAAACTTCCCCCCTTTTTTCCTCCACCCAAATTGTTGTCACCCCTTCCCCCCCCCTTCCCTTCCCTTCCATTTTCTCTGAGTTTGGCGCCCCCGTGAGAAGGGAAGAGTGACAAGCAAAAAAAAAAAAAGAATGACGCGCACACGGAAACAAACAAACAGCAAAAACAAAAAAAGTTGCAATGTTTATAAATAAATATATAACGGCGGACGCTAATCCAACCGGGATTAAACATGTCTACACAGTCGCCTCCACTTCGACCCTCGTTGTTTCGATTGGTACTTCGTTGTTTTCTGATGATGACGATGATAATGATCTCCCAGTTTCTGGTGGAGACTCTTCCTGCTTTGGAGCCTTACGCGGCTCGATGATGGTGCCCTTCTCCTCCCAGACTTTGTCCGACAAATCGTTTGGCTTGAATGGCGTGCTCACAAGCTCTTTAATGATGCTGCGCAACTCCTCCAGCTTCTCATTGTTCTTCTCGTCACTCGGATCCAAAAACTTGCGGCCAAGGCAAGTGTTCATGGCACGTTTAAATTTACGAATAAGCTCCAACGTTCCAAAGCTGGCGCGAAACATGATCCACTCGTCCACAACGGCCAGATTGAGATCGTCGCGATAGACGACAGGCATGCTGCTTGTGCCCATAAGGAGAATAGTCCATAATGGAACATTTGTGAGGCCACGCACTTGGAGGCGGTCGGACTCCGACGACTTCACAAGCTCATCGTACACAAAAAACGGTTGGGTGATATCCTCTTGTGAGGTGCGGTGCACGACCGATGATGAAGATGGCGACAGTCGGTTGGCAAGTTTATTCCGCATTAACCGCTTGCCTCGGTTCATCACAACATTTGGGAATAGACCCGATGCCACCACACACTTCACTAGTCCCACATTCAGGGCGTCGGTTGACCACTCGGACCGATCAACAAATATATCGGCTCGAGTATGGTCCCTTTCCCTCTCAAAGGCAATTCCATCTCCTAGGAATCCACTATTCATAACAATATCAAAAAATTGGCGTTTATACCTCGATACAGTAAGAAGCTGAGGTACACTCAACATTCGTTCGTGAAGATCATAGACAACCTCAGCTGGTGGCTTTTCGTAATGAGCCACGACCCAAAAATTAAACGCGTTCACCGACGCAATCACGTCGGATTGGGTATTCAATGAAAGGTCTTCTTTGTGTAGTCGTACAGCTTCCCGTTGATCACGGGCGCTATTAAAGACATCGGTGTCGGTCACTGCGGCAATGGTCAAAGCAGTGTCTAAACACCTCAGGATAGCCCCCATGATAACCATTTTCCCCACTTTTGGTGCCACAGGAAGTCGCGCGAGCCTAAGCCCAAGCGGTGTCAGTTGACGTGTTGAGGTTGTTGCCCCGAGCTCCTCAAGACGCCTCATTGCTGCTTCAATGTGTTCCGTCGATGGTGGTTCAATAGCCTGTTGTAGAAAATTAGCTGGTTCCCCCAAGTCAAGGGCAAGAATCTGCAGACACAGCGCATCCAGTGGCGTCCGAAGCATTTCAGGGGTTTGAAAGTCATGTACCGTCTGGAAGTGTTTCTTGGAGTATAGTCGAATACATATACCCGGCCTAGTACGCCCCACGCGGCCGCGACGTTGTACGCAGTTCGCTCGACTGGCATAAACTGTGACAAGTTGAGACATCGATCCCATTTCATTGCGACCAACAGCGGTGGTTCCCTTCTGCATGATGTATGACTTCTCTTTTGCTCGCCCAACATCTATCACGACGGCGACATCGTCGATAGTCACACCACTTTCAGCGATGTTTGTGGAAAGAATCAATTTCACCTTTCCCTCCGGTGGTGGCAGAAAACATCGCATTTGTTCTTCAGAACCAACAGAAGAATGTAGGCAAATAATATGAAACTTTGTGTTGCGCTCAAGTATTTCACATGCCTTATTGATTTCATCCCACCCAGGCAAAAAGACCAAGACAGACGAGTTTGTCAAGTCCAACGTTCGCACAGCATGATCGATAGCAAACTGGATTGTCACGTAATCAATCTCCGCGGTAGCCTCCATAAACCCATACTTGGCCGTAGCAGGTATTGTCGTTGTTAACGAATTAGCAGAAGCTGCAGCATTATCAAGCGAGTCCCCGCTGGGTGAGAACTCCCTTTCACGTTCAAGTGTAGCTGCCACCTCCTTCAACAAGGGGGGCAACACCTTTTGCTGTGCCGCAATAGGCACCAAATCTTCCACATACAGCTCCTGCACTGGATGCACATAACCCTCCACGGTGATAATGGGAGCACCATCAAAGTAGTTTCCAAACTGTTCTGCCTGGAAAGTCGCGCTCATCAAAATGACATGCAGATCTTTTCGAGTTTGGAGCAGTTGTCGTAAGAGAATTAACAAAAAGTCTGAATTAATGTCCCTTTCATGGATTTCATCAATAATGAGATAATTGATCCCATTCAAAAGAGGAGTCGCATGTAAAATACGAAGAAGAATACCGGAGGTACAAAAATTAATGTTGCGTCCCGGTTGGCTGTCCAGACGAATCGAGTACCCACATGTTTCCCCAATGCCCTCCAGTCTTTCCGCAGCCACACGTTGCGCAATAGAAACGGCACTGAGACGTCTCGGCTGAGTAATGACTATGGAACAGTTCCCACCCTCACCCTTTTCGGTCATATGATCTAAAATGTATTGAGGGACTTGCGTGGTCTTACCACACCCTGTTGTGCCACACACAATAACAATTTGACTCTTCTCAAGAGCATTCAAAATTTCTTCTCGCTTGCCATATATACTGAGTCCATGCCTTTTTGAGGCGTACTTGGACAAATATTCCTCATTAGTCAGCTTTTCAGTTAATTTCTCCCGGAGATGTTGGGACACTTGCTCCCGCTCAGATACATCCATGGCAACTCGAGAGAGCAAGCCAACGGGTTCAACTTTCGTTGCACCCCATTCTTGTGGTTTGGCAACTTCCTCCCCCTCCATATCGGGTAGGTCATCAATCACGCGATGGATACGCTCCTTCTGTGCTTCTGTGAGCGAGACGTTGGCAATGTGTTCAGGGTCCAAGTGGGGATGGGTGCGTATAAGATCCATCAGGGCCTGAAAGCCAGAAACACCACGTGATAGCTTTGAAAAAAGATTTTCATATGCTGTTGCTTCATTGAAGCGAGGCCCCGCATCCATCCCTTCGCCAACCCACAATTTCCCATCCTCGTCTGTAACCTCAACGGTGGTGGTGTGATGAATAAGAGTCCCTTCACGACGGTTCATGTGCCGTACTATCGGTGGGTGCAAACCAAAACAGAGCGTAAACAGTTCAATGATACGCACCTTCCCCTCATCAGAAAAGTCCTTGGCAACAGGATCCCAACTGCCTGTTCTCTTTTTGCCGGGCTTGGCCGGACGCTTCACTGCTGGCGGTTCGTCTTCAAGCATAGCAAATGGGTCGATAAAAGCAACCCTTTCCACCGTATCAGATTTCACGTTCTTTTCAGTTTCATAATAGTCCGGTTCTATTCGCCGCAAAAGAGCCAAAGCGTGCATAGCCGCGCGTCGCTGGGATGCATCCTTGTTAACAGCCACCCCACTGGCGGTAACGTGCTCGTGCCCAGGAACCTCAATGGTGGTGAGACACACACGACGTGATACCGGGCCAACTGTACGCGACCTCCAAAAGACGGGGTAATCCACATTAGCGGCTGTACAGTAACGTTGTAGAAACTGCTTTGCATCGACGTCAATAGGGGCGGACTCCACCTCCTCAAGTGCAGCATCATACACAGCATCTCCCGTCCGTGGAACTTTTTCCAGTTCATAGAATATATTTTCTTCCCGCATTGTGTTTACCTCAATAAATCGTCGGCATTCCCCAATATACTTATCCCACTCGTGTGCGACATTAGAGGGGGGAATGGGGTAGGGAGGCTTTTCCGGTGCCGTTCCAAGTGTCAGTGGAATTGGGGACGGTGTGTCAGGTGGCTTAGAAACATCTTCACCGACAAGTGGTGCCCATCGCCCAAGACCCTTTACGCGTTCAGCATGTCTCCTTTGAAGCCCGGGAAGGTTATCGAACAGACATAGACCCAGGGCATCAATAATACGCTCAGCGTGCATCCAACAAAGCAATTCTGCATCCCGCTTGGTTAATGCCGAACCGTGAGCAATGCGCTGACCAAAGCTTTCAGGAACAGGAACTGTAAACTCCGCAATGTGCAAAACGTTGCCCAGACCACGTAGTTCCATACGGAACTCTGGCTCCAGCTTTGGCTTACCCTGGCGACGCAGGTAGTACTGTACCCGTGGACGACTTACAAGATCCACATCCTTTTCAACTATAAAAGTGTAATTCCGCGCTTCTTTGGGGGCGGTTACCGGTTCTTCTTCTTCCTTTTCGGGAAGTAATGGAGTCTTTTCTGTGTTTTCTGACTTGGAGACGGATATAGGAGTGCGCCTTTTGTTCTTATTTTCCCAGTGAATGGATCCAACCACCTCTCGACGAAGAGGTGGCGGGGACTTCGTGGAGGGCGAAATGTTACTGGACTCATCAACAGGTGCATAGCGTCCATTCTTCATACACAATTCCGCATGCCGACGCTGCAAAATCCCATCCGTGTAAAGTGGGATTCCCAGTGTGTCAAGAATAAGTTCCGCGTGCATTGCGGCAAGATTCTCAGCATCCTTTGGATCGACGGCTTCCCCAAGTGCGATACGATCCCCGTAGCGACGCGGCACAGGTAGATTGAGCGCACAACGACAGATTGACTGCCCACAATTATCTTCCGCCTCAATACGTTGTATAAAGAACACCTCTTCTGCACGTCTACCCATGGCTGCAAGATAATTTTTCACACGCACCTTTGCACATGGGTCAATCTCCCGAGGAGAATACAACGCATGTTCATACTGAGTACGCGTCTCGGGATCTGTGGGCGAAACCATAATGTAGCCATCCGGGCTATCCGGTTCAAGTTCCCACAACTCTTTAGGAATACTCTCCCTCATCTTGATGTAATCCATTTCTGGACTTTTATTTGAGGTCGTCTTCTCCCCCTCTTCCGAGGAATTGATAGCCTTGGCCCTTTTGGGGACTCGACGCTTTGATGCTTGTGGCAATGCAGGATCTGCTGGCTCGGCATTTTGGTTAATGTTGTCATCGGTTTTATCATTGTTTAATTCACTGAAAATAGTTTGCCTCACAATTCTCCGCCTGCCTGGAGGGCTTGTTAGACTCGGATCCTGCGCCTCGGCAGGTGTTGACATGCCACGAGAGCGACGAGTAGCAATCCAATCATTTCGTGCGGTACTTTCAGCAATGATGTGCACTCCAAGCATGTTGATCACATCAATCGCATGCATAGCGGCAAGGGTAGCCGCATCTGCAGCGTTCATGGCGATACCCACTCCTCCACGAATACCGAATACGTCCGAGAGTGGAAGCACCACGGTAGCCTTGAAAAATCCCTGTACCTCCTCAATGAAAAATGGATCCGTTCTGGGGGTCTTTTCTCTCCTTAAAAATCCTTTCAGAAGATCTACCGCCGCGTCATCCAAAACTAGTGTCTCAATAAATTCACAGGTCTGTTCGGTGAGAGCACGGTGACGTCTCACAAGGTCCTCTTCGTAGCTCATGTACGAGACTCGATCCTCTCGCCTCACTGCAAGTTCTTTAAGAGGCAACGGACATGCCACATGCGAGGGATCCTTTTGGTCTTCTCCTGGAATTGGTGCGGGACGACCATAGCTCCACGCCGTGAGCGCGTGCTGTTTTTGTTTCACGGAATCCGACGGGAAGAGAGCGATGGAATGTGCATCCAAAAGCAACTCCGCATGCATACAGGCAAGTGTCACAGCCGCCTCACGACTCAAAGCCTTCCCTTGTGCTTTGATCTCATTGAACGTCGTCACCTCCCCAGGCAAAAGGACAGTGGCAATATAATATGTCGGTCCACCTTTCTCAAGTGGTTCTTCCGCTTCCGAGGTGCACAGCTGAGTAAAGGAAAGGTTGTGCTCCGCCAAAAAAGACTTGATGCGGTAAACGGCAGTCGTGTCAAAAAGACACGGTGAAAGTAGTGTATGGGCTGGGGAAATGTAGTAGTTTGGTCGCAGCTCAATCAACAGCCATTTTCCACCCTCTGTCTCGTCACGATCAACGATACGACGTAGAGGAAGTGGAATACGAATATGTGTTTGTGCCCTGTCACCGTCGTCTGGCATGGGGGCCCATCGTCCAGCCTTACGCGCCGCCTCTGCATGTTTGCGTTGCATGGAGGGAAGTGTGTATATGTGGTAGCCAAATTCATCAATAATGTACTCTGCATGCATCGCAGCAAGCATCTCTGCATCCTTCCCATTGCACGCCATACCATGCGCCCAAACCTCGCCCGTTTGACTCTGAAAGGGAAGTCGCACGCGGCAATGATACAATTGAGAGCCGTCATTGCCCTTCACCTCCTGCACCTGGAAAACGTCGTTACTGCCAGTCACCGCTCCTTGAGAGAAGCGTTTGATGAAGTTCACCACGCGTGCCCGTGAAAAAGTGTCCACGTGCTTCGCATCAAAGAAGTGCTGCGGCAACTCATGACTGCCATCAAAGACCCCGGATCCATGTGAAGCGTTGCCAACAGACGCATTAGATTCCTCCACCGCCTCGATAAGCGAAATTTCACCCGGATTTATCTCCTGCGCGTGAATCCATCGACTAGAAGCGACAAACGCAGATGATGCACAAATCTTCACTCTATTCGAGAGGCGAAAAGCCGACAAAAGACGCTGAGACCACATACCGCCTTCCACTTAATACTAACAACAACTACAACAAGAACAAAAAAATACAAATACAAAAAACAAACTCATGCACCCAAATTTCCCACAAAACTACAGTTACATATAATAACAACACGGACAAATGAAATAAAAGGCTCCAGCAAAATAAAGAAAAAAAAATACACCAATGTTAAATCCCACAACAGTAAAATTCGTTTCTTTTTTTTTTTTTTTAACGTTCAAGCAAACGTTGTCAAAGGCCGGCACCCATCATAGCTTCCCAGAAATGGAACACTTCTCTCCATCTAATCGGTGTCTGACCCTCATCGTTGCAAGCCATGAAGTCTCCCAATGCATCCACAAACTGAGCTGTTGCGCAACCTCCAAAACGGCCGCACAACGACAACAGCCTGCACCGTCGTTCGTGGGCGCATTGCATTTACTCGGCATGGCTTCCAGCAAACACATCGCCAAAAAATACAGACGCGGTGGCTGGGCTGCCGTAATGAGAAACGCCGCAAGAGCCACACAATTCCTAATTCTTGCGTGGCCACAACCAAAATAGTCTCGCGGGGATACGGAGCCAAAAGCACATCAGCAAATGAGACAAATTCCCGGTGCGGCACAAAGAGGGCACCATCTCCGCGGAGAAGCAGTTTGTGGAACCATGCACTCAGGAACCGCGCGGATGGGCACTAAAGCCCACACATCCGCCTCACCTTCTCCGCTGCGTGGCAGGAAGCAAAATTATCTCAGACACACAGCGCATTTGCATGGCCCTCTCGCGCGACATGCGTGGGGACGTCTCGGGGGCGTCGCCCCGTCGCGTCTATTAGGGCGTCAGCCATCAGAAGACACGCGGTGTCCACGTGCAAGTGCGTGCCAACGGGCATGCCTGGAATTTCCTCCAGCTCAGAAATGTGCCTCCAAATCAGTTTACCCTCGCAAGAAGTGCCCAACCACAAAAGACTGCTCCCGAGCCAATTCTGCGGATACCCCATCGGGGCGTTTACTGAGATGAGCTCCACGCAGCTCTCCGCAGCAGCCTTCAGCGGACGTTCATCCACTAAGACAATACGTGTGGGTGGGTGTAACGTTGGAGAAAAAAGGAGATGTGGTGGCGTCTCAGCCGCGAGAAAGGAGCACAACAGAAACACAAGAAGAGAGGGAGATGAGCAGACACGGGAGGAAAAGAATGGGAGAGCCCTTCAGAGAAACAAATAAAGAAGGACATTAAATTCGTTCATTTATTGGGAAAGGAATTGGAAGGAAAAAGCAGAAAAAGTGGTGCGAATAATGGCAATTAAATGTGTCTGCAGTCCCGATTGACTTCTTTTGTCCATCGGCGTAACGCCGCTAAGCCTTTCCTCACACCTACACAAATGGGACCCATCGAAGCGTCAGAGTAGGGAGTATGCCAGTTTCTGGTTGAACAGCAGATATTTGCTTACCAACCATATGGTGTAAATAGGAATAATAATGGCTAGGGTAATTACTGTCACTCGCCACCAACAGCCGGACGAGAAAAAAAAGTTTCTGTCTATTGTTTCAGGCAACACCACGACGGCCACAAAGTAGGACGCAATGGAAAAGCATTCAGCTGCAATAAACAAATAGAGATGACGTCGCCGTTGTTCCCAAAGTATTCGGAGGTGCGCCGTGGACGCCACGATAATAAGTTCCGTCAACAATAAAGAAGTGTAGGCAACCGCCACCAATTGAAATAACTCCTCGCTAAATAACTCAAGTGAAAGAAACATCATGGTCCCTCCTTGAAAAATAGAAATCCATACCCATTGCAAAAAAGAGCGTGTGTTCATAGATCGAGCTTTTAACAGCTCCTTGTAATGCTGCGGAAACTCACTGACGTCTTTCTCCCGTATCTCCTCATCGAGTACAAGCGCAAAGACCGGTGCCATAGTAAAAATGGTGGTGTACCCCATAAGAAGATATCCATTAAAAATAGACATGGTGGTGCCTGCGAAAAGAAGTGAAAAGAACGCCTGCACTACCGAGTACACCATACCTCGGTGCATAATAAACTGACTCATACGGCATGTACGACAATATGATCTACGCCCATGCCACATTATAAGTCGTACACAGTGAGCAAACTTCGTGATGGAAAAGTCTGCTGCCATACTTGCCTGCTTGCCTTCTAATCCCTCCACGCCAATACCAACGTCCGCGGCAAGTATCATTGAAACGTCATTTCCTCCATCCCCAATAGCAGCCATGCGGACCCTCTTGTCGCAGTACTTTCGCATAGTGTGAACAACAGCCGCCTTTTGTGTAGGCGAACATCGTGCCACAATAACGGAATACGCCGTTTGCGAGACTTCAACAAAGATTCTAGAAATGGATTCTGAAAGACAAAAAGAAAGAGAGGTGCCGTCCAAAATAAGCGTCCATGGTCTGTTAATACATGCACCGCGTGATAGCAAAGCGTAACGAGCCGCAAGTTTCTCCAAAAAACGCTTGGCATCGTCTTCTGTAGAAGACGCCATCACTTCCACAACGCCGTTTCTTGGAATAAGCCGTGTTGAATGACCAATGGTAGTGGCCGTCTCCACCTTGTCACCCGTTAAGATCCACACTTTAATGCCACCCATCCCTAATGTTTCCAGTGACGTCGTGACATCATCTTGAAGTTCGTCTTCTACACCGGTAACGCAAACTAACTTCATGTCCCTTTCAATAATACGCATGGCCGCATCTAAAGAACTGTTACGCGTGTCACCCAAGTCTGCATTGGCCTCATTATATTTCGCCAAAAATGTTTCAAAAAGCTCTTCTGTTAATGTCCGCTGCGCAAATACTAAAGTTCGAAGTCCCACCTGCGAGAATTCCTGACAACTTTCATACAACCAATCAGTGAGGCGTAAAACACTCGCCATCTTCGTATCAGCCCCCTTCATCAGATATTTATATCCGCCCTCGCCCACCCCCCGCCGTTCACGAACGATAATTCCCATACACTTTCGTTCAGAGGTAAAGGGAAA